GGGTTTATTCTTTCTATAGGAATTCTGAATTTTAATGAAACTCCAAATCTCTCAATAAAGGCTTGGGGCAGAAGCCCTAATCCAGCCCACACCTGACTTGAAATCGGTATTTTTTATTTTTTTTTTTCTTTCTTTCGCATTTCTCATGTATCATCATTGCAGCAACATTCATTTTATGTGACTTTATACATCCTAGGCATTGAAAATGGTTCACTCATGATGATATCAACTTCAAGTGGTAAGCTTACTGAGCAAGTCACCAGGCACGGGCTAACACAAAGTCAATCAATATTTATCTTATGTTGAATGAAGATTTTTACCAATGTATAATCTTCATTCATCATAAGTTCTATATTTATATATTGATTGACTCTGTGACTTGCTCAGTAAGCTTGACATTTGAACATACAACTATATACAGTTAGGTCCATATATATTTGGACACAGGCACAATTTTCATACTTTTGGCTCTGTATGCCACCAGACTAAATTAAAACGAAACAATCCAAATGAATTTGAAGTACAGACTTTCAGCTTTAATCACTTGCCCTCCTGAGGATTTACCCCCCCCCCCCCCTTCCTGACCAGGCCATTTTTTGCATTGTGGCGCTGCGTTACTTTAACTGACAACGCTGCACCCAAATGAAATTTACATCCTTTTTTTCCCATAACTTGAGCTTTCTTTCAGTGGTATTTGATCACCTATGCATTTGTTATTTTTATCTATAAAAAAAAAGTCCAACAATTTTGAGAAGGAAACAACATTTTTTACTTTTTGCTATTAAACATGTCCAGTAAAATAATTAAAAAAATATAATATTGTCATACGTTTATGCCAAAATGTATTCTGCTACATGTCTTTGCTAAAAAAAAATCCCAATACATGTAAATTAATCGGTTTAGGTGAAAGTTATAATGTTTACAATTGACGGTATATATACTGGGATTTTTTATTTATTTTATTTTTACTAGTAATGGTGGCGATCAGTGACTTATAGTGGGACTGCGGGACTGCAACGGGCATTCTGACACTGGGGGTAACTGACTTGGTGTCACTGACACCAAAACAGTCATCAGTGCTAAAAATCATGGCACTGGGCAGGAAGGGGTTAACATGAGGGGTGATCAAAGGGTTAACTGTGTGCTGGGAGTGTTTTACTAGGGGGCGGGATGTGTGTGCTTCACTGTACTCACACTGCTGTGGTCAAGTGCATTGCTTTGGCCAATCACAATGCACTGTCAGGGCGCAGTGCATTGTGGGGCGTGGTGGGCGAATAGCCCACCGAACGCCCTTACTGTTTGTGTGTTTGCTGAACACATGAACGGCAGATGTTCTAGTCGAACTCAAACATCTAGCCCAACACTAGTCCTCAGTGGATTGTTACATTGTTAGTCTGGCTGAAAAAAAAAAACAGAAGTCCATTCAGTTCAACCATAAAAAAAATAGTTATAATCCTATACCCACAGTTGATCCAGAGGAAGGCAAAAAAAACCCCAGCAAAGCATGATCCAATATGCTCCTGCAGGGGAAAAAATTCCTTCCTGATCCCTCAAGAGGCAATCGAAAATTCCCTGGATCAGCTTTACCTATAAATGTTAGTATCCAGTTATATTCTGTGTATCCAAGAAAGAATCCAGGACTTTTTTTAAAGCAATCCACTGAGATGGTCAGAACCAACTCTTGAGGGAGTCTATTCCACATTTTCACAGCTCTCACTGTGAAGAAACCTTTCCGTGTTTGGAGATTAAATTCATTTTCCTCCAGATGTAAAGAGTGCCCCCTTGTCCTCTGTGATGACCTCAGGGTGAATAACTCTACACCGAGTTCACTATATGAACCACTGATGTATTTATACATGGAGATCATATCCCCCCTTATGTATTATACATGGAGATCATATCCCTCCTTATGTATTATACATGGAGATCATATCCCCCTTATGTATTATACATGGTGATCATATCCCCCTTATGTATTATACATGGTGATCATATCCCCCCTTATGTATTATACATGGTGATCCCCCCTTATTATTATACCCCCCCCTTATGTATTATACATGGAGATCATATCCCCCCTTATGTATTATACATGGTGATCATATCTCCCCCTTATGTATTATACATGGTGATCATATCCCCCCTTATGTATTATACATGGAGATCATATCCCCCCTTATGTATTATACATGGAGATCATATCCCCCCTTATGTATTATACATGGAGATCATATCCCCCCCTTATGTATTATACATGGAGATCATATCCCCCTTTAATCTCCTCTTCTCAAGAGAGAATAAATTTAGTTCCTCTAATCTTTCCTCATAGCTGAGCTCCTCCACGCCTCTTATCAGTTTGGTTGCCCTTCTCTGTACTTTCTCCAGTTCCCCAATGTTCTTTTTGTGAATTGGTGCCCAAAACTGAACTGCATATTCCAGATGAGGTATTATTAATGATTTGTACCGGGGGAAATGATATCTCTCTCTCTGGAGTCTATACCTCTTTTAATTCAAGAGAGGATTTTGCTCGCTTTAGAAACCGAAGCTTGGCATTGCATGCCATTATTAAGCTTGTGATCTACCAGAACCCCCAGATCCTTCTCCACCATTGATTTCCCCAGTTGTACCACCCTAGTATGTATGATGCATGCATATTCTTAGCCCTGTAGTGCAGAACCTTACATTTATCAACATTAAACCTCATTTGCCTCATAGTTGCCCAATTACACAGAGCATTGAGGTCGGCTTGTAAGTTGGAGACATCCTGTAAGGACGTTATTCCACGGCACAGCTTGGTGTCATCTGCAAAGACTGAGATGGTATTTTTAATCCCAGACCCTATATGGTTTATAAATATTTTAAAAAGTAAGGGTCCCAACACTGAACCTTGGGGTACACCACTGACAACCCTAGACCATTCTGGGTATGAATCATTAACCACTACTCTCTGAATACGATTTATTAGCCAGTTTTCTATCCATTTACATACAGATATTTCCAAGCCTGTAGACTTTACCTTACACATTAGCCATGTGTGGGGAACTGTGTCAAACGCTTTTGCAAAATTAAATTATACCACGTCCACCACCTCCCCTCTGTCCAAGGTTTTGCTCACCTCATAAAAAGAAATCAGATTTGTTTGACAACTTCTGTCTTTCATGAATCCATGCTGTCTGTTGCTTAAAATATTTTATATTTCCAGCAAGAACTCATCTATGTGGTCTTTTTTTAAACTCTCCAGTATCTTCCCAACTATAGAAGGTAAACTAACAGGTCTATAATTACTTGATAAAAATTTTGACCCCTTTTTAAATATTGGCACCACATTGGCCTTATGCCAGTCCAGTGGTACTATGCCAGTCATTAAAGAGTCCCTAAAAATTAGAAACAAATGACAAAGCTCAATTCTTTAAGGCCCCGTGGGTGTATGCCATCCGGTCCAGGTGCTTTATTCACCTTTATTCTGTCTAAATATTTTTGGATCATATCAACTGTGAGCCAATGTGGATCATCTGGAGCTGTGTCAATACCATGCCCATTATGGACAAGAGCTCCCCCATGCTCCTTTGTATACACAGAGCTGAAGAAGGTATTTAATAAATTTGCCTTCTCTTTGTCCCCAGTCACCCACTCTAGATGATTTTGTAAAGGGCCTACATGCTTGGACCGGGCCTTTTTACTATTAATATATTTGAAGAATTTTGGGGGGTTGGTTCTGCTATCTCTTGCAATCTGTCATTCGTTTTCAATTTTTTATTTCCCTTTTGCATATTCTATTATATTCTTTGTAGTGTTTAAATGATGAGAGCATTCCTTCATATTTATATTTAATAAAAGCTGTTTTCTTATTATTTATAGCTTTTTTAACTTTGGCCGTAAGCCACATAGGTTTGATTTTTAGCGTTTTAAACCTATTGCCCATGTGCATATATTTTGCAGTGTGTTCACATACAGTCTTTTTGAAGAACTCCCATTTCTGTGTTGTGTTCATTGATGCCAATATTCCCTCCCAGTCTAAGTCTTGGACAGCAGCTTTCAGCCTTGGAAAATTAGCTCTTTTAAAAGTGAGTGTTTTATTTTTCCCATATGTGCTTACTATTTACAGCTAACAATAAATTAAATCATGTTATGGTCACTGCTACCCAGATGTTCTTTTATATGGACATTAGTAATAAGCTCTGCATGATTTGAGATTACCAGGTCCAGCAGAGCATCATTTCTAGTTGGGGCCTCTATGAAGTGTACCATAAAATTATCCTGTAGTAGGTTTATACATTTTTGCCCTTTAACTGTTCCCGCAGTACCATTACTCCAGTCAATTTCCGGGTAGTCAAAATTCCCCAATATTATCACTGTCCCAGTCCTTGTAGCCCTTTCGATCTGTGCAAGGAGCTAAGTCTCCACCTCCTCATTAACATTGGGTGGCCTATAACAAACTCCAATGATTACCTTTGTAGTACGCACCCCCATGTGCAGTTCAACCTATAATGCTTCAGCCTCATCACACTCTCCATCAACTAGTTCCTCTTTCACACTCGCTCTGAGATCACTTCATGCATAGAGACAGACAACACCACCTTTCCTATTACTCTGTCTATCTGAAAGAGAACATAGTCAGGAATATTAATGTGACCATTAGCATAGGAGTCCAAGGTGAAGGTACCCACATATGGGTGCAGTGCAAAGAGTTTTTTACAACTGGCTGTATATGAAAACAGAACAATCACACCTGGCTAGCACCAACAGCAGGTGACAGCTTAACTGATTTTAAAATCACACGATGCCTACTGTTTTTTGCTATTAATAAAAAGAAAGCTGGAAAGGCACATATTTTGCCATGGACAGGAAATCTCATGTACAGTATATGTACTTATATAAGCATGGGATGACATTTGGATGATCATCAGAAACTATCCTGTATGGATAGCCTCAGGCTGTTTTTTAAAATGGTTCATTGGCTGGATGGTGGGCCTAATTTCTTTGTCCTGCATTGTAGCCATCAGGGGCGGACTGACCATTTGAGCACTTGGGCACTGCCTGAGGGCCCAGGGTCAGTAGGGGGCCCCATGAGATGCCCCTGGTACCTTTCAGAGGCTTTTTTGGGTGTGGTTTGGGTGTGGTTTGGGTGTGGGCGAGGACACAGGGGCCCCATGATCCCCTATTGCCCGGGGGCCCCATGAGGTGTCAGTCCACCCCTGGTAGCCATGTACTTACAGTATACCATAGCCCAGTTTTGTAGGACTGAACAATCTTTAGAATGCTTATAGGCATAAATAACTGGAAAACATTTATAAATGACTGTTTATGTTTCTAGCCAGTTTTGTTTTCTCTCCAAGATAGAGCAGGCTGCTTCTATACAACTTATATCATGCACATACATATGTTTGTGTGGTATAAGCACATGTATCTATAAAAATGTATCTTACTTTCATCAACAGCCTTACTAAGTAAAGTAATCTTAAATGCCTATCCTCAAGGGCAGTAACCCATAATAACCAATCAGAATCCATCTTCTGTGGCTCAAGATTCTCGGGCCCCTTCTCCATTGACACCTTCTCCCTGGTCACTTGATAAACTCCCACGGCTTCCAATACCATCTCTATACTAATGACACCCAAATCTATTTCTCTACTCCTCACCTCACTCTTTTAGTCTCCTATTGCATTACTAACTTATTAACTGGCATATCAGTTACATATATCAATATATCCCCTCATTCCAGGGTACAAGATGTAATCCTTGATTCTCTCCTGTCCTTTCAGCCCCAAATCCAACCATGGGACCAACTCATATAGACTTCACCTCCGTAACATCTTCAAAATATTCCCCTTTTTAACTGATGAAACCACCAAGCTACTCATTTATTTTCTTGTTATCTTTCACCTTTACTATTGGAACTCCCTTCTCACAGGCCTACCTCTACAGAGACTGTCCCCTCTTCACTCTATTGTGAATGCTGATGCCAGATTCATCCACCTTACTAATCACTCAGTGTCTGCCACCTATCTCTGCCATTCCCTCCACTGACTTCTGATTACCCAGCGAATAAAATGTAAAATACTGACAGCATTCAAAGCCATCCACAACTCTGCCCCAAGCTACATCACCAGTCTTGTCTCAATATATCACCCAAACTGTCTTCTCCATTCTTCCCAAGACCTTCTGCTCTCTAATTGCTTCATCTCCTCCTTCCATGCTCATCTCCAGGACCTCTCCAGAGCCTCTCCTATCCTGGCTCAACCCCAATTTATCTGGCTTTCCCCTACTCTGTTTACTTTTTAGTCAATCCCTGAAAACAAATTTCTTCAGGGAAGCCTGCCCTACCTTCAGCTAACAAGTAAAGCTTTTATTTCTCCCATCAGTCGATCCTGAATACGGCTGCCACACTCATTCACCTTTCCAACCGCTCCGTTTACGCCACCCCCCTCTGCCAATCCCTCCACTGGCTTCCGATTGCGCAACGGATCAAATTCGAAATCCTAACACTGACGTACAAAGCCGTCCACCATACTGCCCCGAACTACATCACTGACCTAATATCCAAGTACCGCCCAGCACGCACACACTCCGCTCCTCACAAGACCTCCTTCTCTCTAGTTCCCTGGTCTCCTCCTCCCATGCCCGCCTCCAGGACTTCTCCAGGGTGTCACCCATCCTCTGGAACTCCCTGCCCCAACCAATCAGATTATCACCTACTCTTCTCTCCTTTAGGCGCACCCTGAAAACCCACCTCTTCAGGGAAGCCTACCCCACCCCCTGCTAACTTGCCGACCTCCTCCACTCTTCCTACCACTCCATCCCCCACAGCTTTCTCCTCATGTGCCACCATCCCCTCCCTCCTAGATTGTAAGCTCGAAAGAGCAGGGCCTTTGATCCCCTCATGTTTTGCATTGTATTGTATTGTTATTGTTCTGTCCCCCATTGTAATGTACAGCGCTGAGTGAACTATTGGCGCTTTAAAATACTGTATAATAATAATAAATAATTTCTTCCATCAATGTTATTAACTTTTGTTTCACTTGCCCCTCTCTTTTAGATTGTAAGTTCTCAAGAGCAAGACCCTCCTAACCCTCTTGTTTAGAATTGTGGTGTTACTGTATTATCTCCCTTCATATTGTAAAGCTCTGCACAAGCTGTTGGCGTTATATAAATCCTGAATAATAATAATAATGTGAAATGTGATTCTATGAGCTACTATAGAGGATAACAATTGTTTGGGTGATAATGGCCCTCAATGCCTCCACCCTTCCTTCCCATTCTATATATAGAGTCTCCTCCAGACCTCATATCAGCAGATAACCTGATCCATAGACTGGGCCCAAACAGCCTTAGGGAGCTCTTCTCTGCTGAGCTTATAGGGTATAGCATGTTGTGCACAGGGGCGGACTGACCATTTGGAAACTCGGGCACTACCCGAGGGCCCTGGGTCAGTAGGGGGCCCCATGAGATGCCCCTGGTACCTTTTTCATAAGCTTTTTTGAGTTTGGGCAAGGACACAGGGGCCCCATGATCCCCTATTGCCCGGGGGCCCCATGAGTTGTCAGTCCGCCCCTGGTTGTGCATGTGCTGCCTTTTTTCTATAGATGTAGTTGAGATCTTGTATAGATCTAGTTGTCTCTTTGCAAGCTTGTATGTAAACAGCTCTTTCATTAAATCTCAACAGTACTTTCCGTGAATAATATTGCAGGTGTTTCAAACCCAAAGATATATAAAGTCTTACAGTTTTTTCCTCTGCAAAGCAGCCATAGAAAAGCCCTTGCCCTGCAAGCATGCTGCAGAAAAGGACTGCTTGTGGCAATGGTCTTTCTGCAGAGGTACAACACAGGCCCTTATGAATCAGACCCATACCTCTGCAAACAGCAAACTCATGTTTCCTGTTGATTGGAAGTCTCTAGCTCTGGCTCAGTAGTTGGCATGTTGGACCTCCACAGGGATACCACTACTTCCACATATAGATCAAGGCCCTCCTTTGCAGAATGGAAGAGGAAAGGTTTTTCTACTCAGGCTGCTTCCTTACAAAAATGAACTGTAAGACTTTGTACTTCTTTTGTTTTGATGCACTTGGAAGACATTAAGCTGGTTTAATTAAGTCCAATTATATTTTAAGGTTGTTGGGTTTTCTTCGGTTTTCTGTAAAATTTCCAGTGCATTTTATTAGTTTTCACATTGATGGTTTTTGTTTTTTTTGCAGGGTTTACAAGCAAAAAATATATTCGGACTTTACCTAATACCTGATGCTGTAGGAGCCAAAAAGCGGTTAATCAGATTTAGAAAAAGTAAGGAAAAAATAAAAAAAATCTCTCACTCATGGGTTTTCACAATTACAATGATAGGATGAGGTTGAGCGCCGTGTTCTTGACTCTCATCTGTCAGAACTATGGGCAGAATGTGTGGCTGTACATCATATATCTTTACTTGAGCCTACAGATGTCTAATGCAATGTAATTGAATCAATTTTATTGTCTAAAATGACTCATTATAATGTTCTTGTGACAAAAAAAAACTGGTCAATCTGACAAGTTAAAATGGCATCGACGGTCATTTGAACTTCTTTCAGCAACCAGGGTGCGAAAATTGTTCATCACCTCATTTCACCTTCGAATAAAACTCCTGGAGTGTCCAAAGGAAGAAAAACACCAGGCTTGAAAGGAAAATCTTTCAGCAGTAATTGTACATTCTAATAAATAGGAATCTTCCCATCAATTTCAACAGACTTCTTAACTGTGCAATCTCGGTGTCCCACCTTTCTTCAACCTTTGGGGAAAGCTGAAAAGAAAACCATAGTTCAACTCAAATTTGAGATACAAAAGCTGAACATTGTGCAATTTCGAATTGCATCTGTAATACGTCTAAATGGTGCTCTATTACATGCGCCATCTGAGTTTAGATTATATGTAGGTGTTCTGCTTAAAGGGTTCTTCCTAAAAACTGGGTATAAGGTTTTATTTCATGCAGAGATGCAGATTCTATGCTAACTAATTTGTTAAATACAAAACATACACAACGGCAGTGAGCAACTTAAAATACATTTCAAAGAAATGTTGTTACCTACTGTGTAACTCCTATAGCAACCTTTTTCAACTAGGGCTTTCTAAAACTCTGGAGTCCTTCTAGAACAGGCTTTCTCAACCAGAGTTCCAAGGAACCCTAGAGTTACTCCAGAGATTGCTAGGGGTTCCTTGAGAAATGAGCAATTTCTACCTTTCAAATAAGTTCCCACTCACACCATTGATCTTTTTAGCTATCTGTAAGGAGGTAATTCTTCCCAATGACCATAAGTTTAAGGAGCATTCTTCCCACTGACCAGCACACTAATGTATTATGAGTTGTAGATATAGTCATTTTTAGCAGGGGTTCCCTGAGACTATAAATATATTTCAAGGGTTCCTCAGTGTTAAACAGGTGAGAAAGGATGTTCTAGAGTTTCTAAGGGGTTCTTCTTCAAGGACTTCAAGGAGTGAGCAGTAGAAGACAGGGGCGGACTGACCATTCGAGCACTCGGGCACTGCCCGAGGGCTTGGGGTCAGTAGGGGGACCCAAGAAATGCCCCTGGTACCTTTTAGAGGCTTTTTTGGGTGTGCTTTGAGTGTGGGCAAGGACACAGGGGCCCCATGATCCCCTATTGCCCGGGGGCCCCATGAGTTGTCAGGCTGCCCCTGGTAGAAGATCAATCTTCCATCTAAAGGTATCTGAATAGTTCAGACAGCAATGTCACTCAGCAGAGCTAACGGTGTTGGACAAGTAAAGCCTCTCTTATAGCTCATGTAAGTAACCCCTGAGAGCAATGCTCATTTTTGTGTTCTGTAAGTAGATGCAGTCTTTCCACTGACTACAAATGTAAGGAGCATTCTTCTCACTGTCCACCAATATAAGGGATATTCTTCCCCTGACTATCATTTGGGACACCAGGGGACATTCTATCTCCCACTGATCCACTAATGTAAGGGGTATTGTTCCTGCCGATGACCACCAATCTATGGGACTATCTTCCCATTGACCAATGTAACAGCATTTTTTTCCACTGAACCCCATTATAGAGGGATTTTTTCTTTACATTGAACACCTTTAAAAGGGAGTACTCATACTATCATTGTAATAGAATGCTACAATTTTCAGTGTCTGCATTATTTTTTTTTGCTGACCATTTAGGAGGTATTACACTATCTGCAAAGGTAAATGGGCATTCATTCCACTGCCCTCTAATGCAGGGGTGTCAAACGCAATTTAATATTTCAAGTCACATCAGCATTATGGTTGCCCTCAAAGCACCAGTTGTATCCATAAGATTTGATGTCCAGATCACACAATCCTCCCCCCCCCCTGGATCAGATGTCAAGAGCCCCCCACCTTCCCTTACATCACAGTGACCCCCCCCCTTACCTTGTGCTGCTGCCAGGAAGAAGCAGGAGGGGACAGAGCTGGGAAGCTGAAAGTGCAGGATCTCAAGAAGGACCAGAGGAGGGCTTGAGTCAGTTGCAAGAGTCTACTGAATGCTAAGACCAAGGGGGGTGGAAACAAAGGGGTTCTGCGGCTGCACAGAGAGACACAAGATCTGCAGGAGGAGTTCTATCCTCCTTTCTGTTGCTGACTGCTGAGACAGGGGTGTAGAGACAAGCCTCTCCACAGCTGCACAGAGAAGTGCAGGATCTGGAGGATCTCTGCTGCCAACTACTGAGACAAGGTGGGGGCAGAGACGAGGGGGTGCCACAGCTGCAGGGGAGGTGTGATCGTCATATAAAATGGCTTGGGGGCCAGATTTGGTCTGCGTACCTTGTATTTGACACATGTGGTTTATGGTATTATTCGTCTTACTGACCACCTATGTAGGGGAGTATTATATTGATCATCATGTAAACAAACACCACAATTTGTGCACCCTTACATTGGTGGTCTGTGGTGAAGTATCCCTTGATTTGGTAATCAGTAGAGAAGTGCTCCCTTATGTTGGTGGTCAGTGTTGAACTGTTCTCTTACATTGGTGATCTGTGCCAAAGTGCCCTTTAGACTGGAAGTCAGTGTTGAAATATCCCTTAAATTGGTAGTCAGTGGTGAAGGGATCCCTTTCTTTGGTGGTAAGTGGTGATGTGACCCCTTATGTTTGTGGTCTGTAATGAAGTGCTCTTTTGCATTGGAGATCATGTGGCATAGTACCCTTTAGGTTGGTAGTCAGTGATGAAGTACCCCTTAAACCGGTAGCCAGAGGAGAAGTGCACCCATACATTATGATCAGTGGTGAAGTGCCCTTTTATGTTGGTGGTTAGTGTTGAAGTACCCTCTTAAAATGGTGATAAGTGGTAACGTGGCCACTTACCTTGGTGTTAAGGGGAAGACTATCCCTTATATTTGTAGTCATAAGGAAGAATGCCCTCTTACAGGCAGCTAAAAAGACACTTGGGGGTTTATTTGCTAAAGCTGGAGAGTCCAAAATCAGACTCCCTTCTGCATAGAAACCAATCAGCTTCTAACCTCAGCTTGTTCAATGAAGCTTTGGCAATGAAACCTGGAAGCTGATTGGTTTCTATGCAGAAGGGAGTCTGATTTTGGACTCTCCAGCTTTAGTAAATAAACCCCTTGGTGCCAGTGGTTACTTATCTAAACGACATAAGAAGACGTACTACTGGTCCCACTCCTCTGGCTTTGTGACACTAGCTGTGCCAAGTGACATCAACTATGCAAGATAGTGGAATATTGGGTGGGAGATCATTCTGTCTAAATAGCCTTTATGCAGCCAATTCATTCTCTTTTTGTATTAGATGTCGACTGTATCTACTGCCCAGCTCCTAGTACACTGCTAAATTTGAGTAACCCATCTTGTTTTTTTTTGTATGGGCTCTTGAAATATCAGTCGGACATCTTGGACATGTTCATAATTTTTCACACTGTGAAGATATTGGGTTTTGTATGACTTGATGAATACAACCAACCAGAATATAATGCATCACTTAGAAATCACTTAGAATTAGATGCTGCATGCTATGTTTCATTTACAGTATAGTATCATGTAAACATACATAGCATATGGAAAATCTATCAATCCAGCCAAGCTGTATACAATTTAAAGAGTTTTCTGTTTTAAATAAAAGTCTATATAAGAAAGATTAAGACAAGACAAGAAGGAAGGAACTCTTTATTATGAGATACAATGCTTATTTTTCCTGTGCAAATGTTAGATTGGACGATGAAAGAGTGTTGTGGAATAACATTGATATTCTTTTGCATAGATTTATTGGATCAACTCTTTCATAATTAATGTAACTGACTTTGACATATTTGATTGAGACCCAATGATTCAATACACTCTGTTGCTTTTTTCTGTATTTCATATTTCTGACTCTATTCTTTAAGAACAGGAGCTGTTTTGAAAAAAAAACGTTATGTAAATGGGTAAAATTAGTATACTGTATATTCTTTCTTCAAGAAGTATTGCTGGCATGTAAAACTACTGTAACCTACTATATGATTGTTCTTTGAATGGAAGGCAAGGGTTACTGTTGAAAACAGAGTAAGGAACATTTTTAAAAGTTACTGAAAATTTCAATCTAACTAAATCATTTAAAGTCAAATAATCGGTGAATTTTAAACATTAGTAAAGAGCAATTCTAGAAAAAAATAAACCAAACAGCAAACTGCTAGTGCTATGTAGCAACAGACTTCTGCTGGAAATTGCAATTTGATTTGCCTTAATCGTTCACATAAGGCCAGGGATGTGGGCTTCTAAGCACCAGTTGGTTTGCACTAGAGGTCCTTTTGGTGAAGATTTGTTTTGCTGTATGCTGGCACCAGGTTGTGATCCCACGTTCACCATGCTCAAACATGTGAAGACCATCTGCATTAGCAAGGGCAGAGGAATCCAGGAGCATTCTGGTGGTGGAAATGTGGATAGGACTGTGGAGCACCCAGGCTGGAATATGGAACAAAAGCATACTGGAGAAAGCTATGAATTCAACCTGAGGCTGCAGACCTCATTAGAGCTGGTTGGAAGGGGATGGAGACAAATAAGAACTGCAATGTAAGCTAAGGGTCAGCGCAGGCAGTTACCAAGCAAATCCAGAGAGAGAGCTGAGGGTGGTACATGAGAAGTAGGACCAATGAAGAAACTAGCAGAAAGTAGGTGCATGAGGATAAGGAACCAGATACACAGGAGTTACTAGGATGGCAGGACAGAGTAGTGTCATAGGAGGTCAGGAAGTAGGAAGTGAAGCTGAAAAATTAGCTCCTGGAACAGGAGCCTAAGGTTTCATGTAACGTATTGCTCAGTCTGAGATTGATAGTCAAAGCACAGCTTAAAGGCTTCATTTTCATTTCTCCTAGATTGTAAGCTCCGAGGATCAGGGCCCTCCTATCCCTCTTTTATTGAACTATATTGTTGCTGCATTGTCTCTTATTATATTGTAAAACGCTGAGCAAACTGTTGGCACTATATAAATCCTGTATAATAATATAATAATAATTTTCACTTGCAGCTGGGGGGGGGGGGGGGGCAGTAGAGACACATGGGGCTGAACTGTGTTTTCAGCAGACTTGGGTGGACACAGCACACTCTGACAACAGCCAGATCCTCTCTCCACTCTTCCTTTCTCAGACACAAGCTCCAAGTTCTCCATGGTGGATAGACTTTGAGCTCTGTGCTGGCTCTTCGGGATCTGTCATTGATGCCATCTGCAGCGGCCGGGGCATGCCTGCATGTTGGATGGGGGTCCCTGGTGTGTGTGGGGCACCTGAGATGTGGGGGAGGGGCAGAATGAGTTCTCTGCACACGTGTACATACAAAATTACTCTCCTTCATCTGCCAGCTGCTCTCTCTATTTCTTCCCAGCTTGTTTACCCCCACCCATCTCCCCCCTGCCCTCCCAAAACACCTGGATGCCCCTTCCAGGACTGCCCAAAATATTTCCTCTTCATCTGTCCCAGCCATTCCTATCCATCCTCCTCATCTAATCTTTCTGCCACTACTGCCCAACCCTCCCCTCTGACTGGCATCCCAGTTCAGACCCCCTTCCTCCCCATTCCTGTACCTCATTCCATCCTTTGTCGTCACATTGGAACTTCAGTGGCTGTATCGTGCCATGTTTGGGGTCACAGAGAACAAAGCGCCTCGCTGTGTGCTGTGGAAAGCGATCAGTGGAGGTGAGTCCTGTGTGTCCGATCGGTGAAGGTGAGCCCTGTGTGTGCGATCTGTGGAAGTAAGCCCTGTGTGTGCGATCGGCCTGGTCTGATGAATTCAAAAACAGTTTGAGGAACACAACAAAAAGTTGAAAGTGTTTACTTGACTTCCAAATTCTCCAGATCTCAATCAAATTGAGTATCTGTTGGATGTGCTGAAAAAACAGATTTGATCCATGGAGACCCCACCTCGCAACTTGTAGGACATAAAGGATCTGCTACTGAGAGCCTGGTGCCAGATACCACAGCATACCTTCAACAGTGAATACATTTAGGAACAGATCTCCAAACATTACAAACAGAATATCAAAGGGGGTTTCCAGATCACAAGATTGCTGAAAAATAGACATATGGGTTGGCCAGGTGAGCCGCAACAAAGTCTGGGTGAACATCTGAAACCTTGAACAGGTAAGCTGAGTTTCTTGTTTGCATTTCAAAGCTTGAAGTGGAACTCCAGGGAAGGTGTTTTAGGTTATGGTAAGAATGAGTTAGAACCCATGCCAGATTTTTATTGTGATATATGTCCTCATTCTAAAGACTTCTCACTTGCTCTTATGGTGACTGGTGTCATTAGGTCACAGAAAGCACTAATACAATTTATTACAATTTATTAGAATGGACAAGGGTTGGAAACTCTTAATTTAATTGTTGTCTCTTTCACTTTGTAAAGATTTCCTTTAATTTTCTATCCAAATGAATGGTATTACCAGGAACAGAAGGTATTAATACAGCAACTCCTCAGTTCTCCTTTATTGGGCTTATGAACTGACCCAAAAAGCTCTGTAGTTGGAGGTCTATCCTGGGGTGGGGGTGTAGAGACAAGCCTCTCCGCTGCTGCACAGAGAAGCACAGGATCTGGAGGATCTCTGCTGCCAGCTACTGAGACAAGGTGGGAGAGAGACGAGGGGGGTGCCGAAGCTGCAGGAGAGGTGTGATGATGGCCATATAAAATGACCTGGGGGGCCAGATTCGGTCTGAAGGCCTGGTGTTTGACACATATGGCATAGGGTACTATTCCTCCTACTGACCACCTATGCATTATGTTGATCACAAATTTTACCCTAATTAGTCCATATATTTTCTAATTAGTCCATAACTCTTTCTTCCTCATTTCCTATTATTCCCTGCTTTTTTTTTTTTTGCTTATTTCTATTTTTCTAATCATTAATATTTAAACTTTCTTCATTTTTCATTCCTTTTATTTGTTTTATTCTTTTTTTTTTTAATACTGAACTAAAAAAAAAAATCACAGAATTGAAAAAAATTATTTATTTAATTTGTTATTTTAAGGACACATTATAGAATACAATACTATAAAACATTCACAGATCAAAGTAGAAAATATTTATTATTTGACACACACATTTTATATATATACACACACATACATACACACATATACTGTATACTGTATACAGGGGCGGACTGACCATTTGGAAACTCGGGCACTGCTCCAGGGCCCGGGGTCAGTAGGGGGCCCCATGAGATGCCCCTGGTACCTTTTTAATAGGCTTTTTTGAGTTTGGGCAAGGACACAGGGGCCTCATGATCCCCTATTGCCCGGGGGCCCCATGAGTTGTCAGTCCACCCCTGACTGTATATACACACTATATTGCAAGTATTGGGACACCCCTCCAAATCATTGGATTCAAGAGTTCCAATCACCTCCTTGGCCACAGGAGTATAAAACCAAGCCCCTAGGCATGCAGACTGCTTCTACAAACATTTGTGAAAGAATGGGTCGCTTTCAGAAGCTCAGTGAATTCAAGCGTGGTCCTGTGATAGGTGTCACCTGTGCAATAAGTCCATCTGTGACATTTCCTGGCTGCTAAATATTCCACGCTCAACTGTTAGTGGGATTATAACAAAGTGGAAGCAACTGGGAACAACAGAAACTCAGCCACCAAGTGGCAGTAAAATGCGGCGGGGTCAGCTCATGCTGAAGTGCACAGTGCACAGAAGTCACCAACTATCTGCAGAGTCAATAGCTAAAGACCTCCAAACATTGTGTGCATTCAAGCCCTACATCACCAAGTGCAATGCAAAGCGTCGGATACGGTGGTGTAAAGCACGCCGCCACTGGACTCTAGAGCAGTGGAGACGTGTTCTCTGGAGTGACAAAAACAAGACCCTTGTGCTCAAATCCATACAGCTAGTGCATGCATTTATCCATCAGGTGCTAAAGGGGTGTAACCACATTAACTCTAGAAATTCAAGGACCCTTCTGCACACTGGTATATACCCTTTCAAGCAAACTATGCAACAAATAGGGATATTTGGTTCACACATATTGCAATACATGTTTAAGCTGGAACTGTGTAATCCCTCTTATGGCCAGTTTTACACGCAAGTGCTACTGTGGAACAATGCTAGCATAGCACAATGGGGGAGAGCTCAAGGTGGTTTCTGGCTACTGAAGAGATCCCTGTGCTCAAATCCATACAGCTAGTGCATGCATTTATCCATCAGGTGCTAAAGGGGTGTAACCACATTAACTCTAGAAATTCTGAAGGACCCTCTGCAACTGGTATATACCCTTTCAAGCAAACTATGCAACAAATAGGGATATTTGGTTCACACATATTGCAATACATGTATTGCAATATGTGTGAACCAAATATCCCTATTTGTTGCATAGTAGTTTGCTTGAAAGGGTTGCATACGCCAGTATGACCAGTGTGACAGAGGGTCCTTCAGAATCTCTGGAGTGACAAATCACACTTCTCTGTCTTGAAATCCAATGGATGTTTCTGGGTTTGGCGTTTTCCAGGAGAACGGTACTTGCCTGACTGCATTGTGAAGAGAACTCTTATCATTATTATTATACAGTATATATATATAGCGCCAAAAGGTTTGCTCAGCGCTGTACATTATAGTGGGGGACAGTACATGAGACAATACAGTAACAAAACAATACACGAGGGGTTCGAGGGCCCTGCTCCTTTGAGCTTACAATCTAGGAGGGAGGGGATAGTGGTAGTGGTAGGAGGAGTGGAGGAGATCGGATCTGTTAGGTGAGGGCGGGGTAGGCTTCCCTGAAGAGATGGGTTTTCAGGGTGCGCTTAAAGGTGAGGAGGGTAGGTGACAATCTGATGGATTGGGGTAGTGAGTTCCAGAGGTTGGGGGAAGTCCTGGAGAAGTCCTGTAGTCAGGCGTGGGAGGAAGAGACCAGGGAGCTAGAACGTAGGAGGTCTTGTGAGGAGCAAAGAGTACGGGTTGGGTAGTATTTGGGTATCAGGTCGGTGAGGTAGTTTGGGGCAGCATTATGAATGGCTTTGTATGTCAGTGTTAGTAGTTTGAATTTAGTGTGTTGGGCAATCGGAAGCCAATGGAGGGAATGACAAAGGGGGGTGGCAGAAGCGGAGCGGTTGGTAAGGTGGATGAGTCTGGCCACTGAGTTCAGGATAGACTGAAGCGGGGATAGTCTGCGATGAGGTAGGCCGGTGAGGAGGGAGTTTCAGTAGTCCAGGTGTGAGATAATAAGGGAGTGAACGAGTTGTTTAGTAGTGTCTGGGGTTAGGAACAAACTTATTTTGGAGATGTTGCAGAGGTGGAGCCTGCATGAGTTTGCCAGTGATTAGACATGGGGTTGGAAGGACAGGTTTGAGTCTAGAGTGACACCTAGGACTTTGGCTTGCGGGGTGGGACTGATGGTGGCGTTGTTGGTCGTGATGGAAAAGATGGGGGGGGGGGGCGGGCTGGGGGGAAAATTAGGAGCTCAGTTTTGGATGTTGACCCTTATGGCATCAGCATACCAAGACATTTTAGACAATTTCATGCTCCCAACTTTGTGAGAACAGTTTGGGGATGGCCGCTCCCTGTTCCAACATGACTGCACACCAGTGCACAAAGCAAGGTCCATAAAGACATGGATGAGTGAGTTTAGGGTGGAGGAACTTGGCTGTCCTGACCTCAACCTGATAGAACACCTTTGGGATGAATTAGAGCAGAGACTGTGAGCCAGGCCTTCTTGTCAGACATCAGTTCCTGACCTCACAAATGTGCTTCTGGAAGAATGGTCCAACCTTCCCATAGACACCCTCCTAAACCTTGTGGACGGCCTTCCCAGAAGAGTCAAAGCTGTTATAGCTGCAAAGGGCGGGGCCAACTCAATATTGAACCCTACGGACTAAGACTGGGATGTCATTATTAAAGTTCATGGGCATGTAAAGGCAGGAGTACCAATTTTGGCAAACTATATATATATTTATTTAATGACAAGATCATCGATATGCCTAACTGGCATATACTGCATGTATTACTTTATTATCTTTAATGCAAAGTTATTAAAGATACACATTTTCAAAGTTTCCCCTTGACCTAAACATATCTAGCTGCATGCAGGATGTGAAAGAATCTATCCATTCAGTTGTATCTGACCCTTGGCGATTGCATGGACTGTCACTTGTAGTCAGGGGCAGACTGACCATTTTGAAACTCGGGCACTGCCCGAGGCCCCAGGGTCAGTAGGGGGCCCCATGAGATGCCCCTGGTACCTTTTTCATAGGCTTTTTTGAGTTTGGGCAACGACACAGGGGCCCCATGAGTTGTCAGTCCGCCCCTGCTTGTAAGTGACTTTTTCCATGAATTCTCTTAGCAATTATTTTTACAGGGTAGGTTACCAGGTCTTTCCCCAACCCCTACCATGCAGGAGATCCCACGTGGCCAGGGATGAAACTAGGACAATTTATACAAAAGCCAATTAACCTACTAGCTAGCATGTCTTTGGAGTGTGGGAGGAAACTGGAGTACCCGAAGGAAACCCATATGAACACAGGGAGAACAAGCAAACTCCATGCAGGAGGCACCATGGTTGGGAATCGAACCCATGACCCAATTACTGTAAGGCAGAAGTGCTAACCACTAAGCCACTGTGCCACCCCTGTAAAAGACTACAATCACCATAAACACATAATAAACAGATTTGTACCCAACTTAAATTAAAATAAAACTCTATCTACATAAAATGTATAAACTTCAACCGTATGATGATGCAAAAACATTGAACATAAAATGGAAAGAAAGTAAGACTAAAACTCCAGTGCTGCAAATTCAAATATTTCCTAGTTAATAAACAAAAAATGTCCTCACATGGAAAGTGCTTTACATAAAATATTTTATGAGGGCAAAAATGGACCTTTAACCCCTTAAATACCCAGGAGGCGACAAGGCTTCTCTGTAATGTGACTGCTGTCATTGAGTCTCACAGTGGTCACATGACCAGGAGCCTGTCCCTCTGAGCTGTCGGTGGCAGTGCAGTGTGCAGTGATTGGATATGTGCAGCACCTGGGCATTAAAGCTCACTTTTCTTACAGCTGCATTGCGCGGTCTGGTTACATTTCAGCCACTCCAATGGGCTGATCAATACAACTCAAGGAGGTACTCCTTGCTACTCAATAGCAGTAGAGAAGCTAAGACTTACATAAAAAAGAGAACTTCATAGTGTTTTCAGTTTAAACAAATAGCAATCTTTATTAAAACAACTCTAAAAACAATGATGCATAACAGGGGCAGACTGACAACTCATGAGGCCCCCGGGCAATAGGGGATCATGGGGCCCCTGTGTCCTTGCCCAAACTCAAAAAAGCCTATGAAAAAGGTACCAGGTTCATCTCATGGGGCCCCCTACTAACCCTGGGCCCTCGGGCAGTACCCGAGTTTCCAAATGGTCAGTCCGCCCCTGATGCATAATAAATCATACATGACACTGGATAAAACATTAGAGGTAACAATCCTGTATTTTCACCAAGATACACCTCCACCTAGGGTATCCTAGCATGTTTCCAAACCCTACCTCCAGAACTTGACTCATACACCTTACCAACTGATCAGCGACTGCTGCCCCTCTCTGCCAATCCCTTCACTGGCTTCCACTAACCCAACATATAAAATTCAAAATATAACCACAGCTTACAAAGCCATCCACAACACTGCCCCTAGCTACATCCCCAACCTCATTCGCATATATCCTCCAAATCGCTCACTCCTCCCATAATATCTTCATCTCTAGCTCCCTCATCACCTCCTCCCATGCTCACGTCCAGGACTTCACCAGAGCCTCTCCCATCCTCTGGAACTCCCTACCCCAGCATGTCTGGTCAGCCCCCACCCTGTCTGCCTTTAGGTGATCTTTGAAAACTCACTTCTTCAGGGAAGCCTACCCCACCTCCACCTAAGAACTGTACTTGAATCACCTCCGCCAGATCATCCCCCACAGCTATCACCTTTTGTATCAACTACCCCTTCCTTTAGATTGTAAGCTCCACGAGCCGGGCCCTCCTATTCCTTCTGTACTGAAATGTATTGTAATGGTACTGTCTCCCTTATATTGTAAAGTAAAGCAAACTGTTGGCGCTATATAAATCCTGTATAAATCCCCCTCCAAACTTCCTCTCTCTCCAACTTGGAGAAACTCCTCTCCCAACCAATCCTGCCACACGTATGGGAGAAGACTTTCAACATTACCCATGCAGCATCCCATTGGGAGTCTTACATGAAAATACTACACCAATGGTATCTAACACCAACTAAACTTTCACTGTATTATCCTCAACGCTCATCCACGTGATGGAG